AGCATTGAGGCTGGCATCTTGTTCCCTCAGTAAGTTCCACAAGTGCTCACAAAGGTAGCTCATATAAGTTATGATTATGATTATGATTATGATTATACATAATATTAACATTTAAGCCTCTGATTAGCAGGTGAATGTTAAGCAAGTACCATAGCCCTTTATTATCATTATTATTGAGTGCAAAGTCTATTTCCAGACAATTGCTCCTCTTTTCCTAGGAGGACAAAAGGTACTTTGGTTCTAAGTGTTCTGAAAACAAAACATTTCTCTTGTAAAGATCTTTCACATTGACTTTTAGTACCTGGTGGTGGGAGGAGAAGCGCAGAATTTGCTTCTAAATGAAGGGCTTCCATTTCTACCAACAAAAGGAAAAACCATCCTGTACTAGCCTTGGGTAGACCTAAGTCATAAAAGTTTATGTAGCCTAAAGAAGGAATCTTTTTGAAAAATCAGGATTAGTGAGTACAAAGAAATCCACTGCTGTCCACTTGATCCCATTTCATCGTGACCCTGTAGGAAAGGCTAGAAGCAGACGGCCATCTTTTTCCTGCTGAGCAGCTGGTGGCTTAAGAGCCGCCAACCTTTTGCTTAGCAGCTGAATGCTTAACCATTGTACCACCAATGCTTTGGGGGGCATAAGGGAAGGAAAATACAGAGCTGAAAAGATGGCTGGTTTAAATGCTTGGCCATTTTTTTCTTCCCAGTGTAATACGTACTTAATTATGATTGGCATTTTGAAAACAATGCCACATTCACTCTCTGTTTTGGCCATTTCTTAGAGAAATGGTTTCCCAGTTGGATAAACTTATTTTGAGGTCTTTTTTTGGTGGCTGGGGAATGTTTGAAGTGATTAATAGATGTTAGCTTTGGGGCCTGATCATATGGCTAGAACAAATGCTCTCATACACACACATATAGAAGCAGTCACGTAATGTCAGCATGCATCATCATCTGGGCTTTAGGCTGGAGCAAATGTGGTGAAACCTCAGGGTGACCATTGTCAAACGAAGACTCAAGTACAGCACACATTAAACTCCTTTACTTTACAAGCTTCACTAGACTGCCAGGATTTCAGGAATAGTTTTTGAAGCACCCATCTTAATAAATTTTAGATAACGCCCCTCTACTTTCCTGAAGGATAAAATTGTGATCAAGAGGAAAATGACAACCTGGGCAGCAGCTTTATGGGACTGTTCTTTGGCAGGATATTCATCACAGTTGGTTTTTTTGATCTCACTGCTCCTGAAGAAAGTATTTTTCTGATTTATTTTGGATGGTAAATGGAAACACTGAGTTGGAAACTTCTGTGTGAGCTATGCCAGGATAAAGTCCTGGTGTGGCGCTATAGAATAAGCACCACATTGCAAGATCAGTTTGAACTGCAAGGTCAGCGGTTCGAATCTACCAGCCACTCTGCAGAAACCCTATCCAGGGTTGCTGTGAGTCAGAACTGACTCGACAGCATTAATAACAACATGTGAACTCTGCCAAGATATCTTTGTCATCCATAAAGGTGAAATTAGGGAAGGGCTACAAGCATTTGTTGAGCACCTGCAGTATAAGATGGTCTGGCCTGTATTCTTTACTGATGTCATGCCATTTAGTACCATCAACAACCCTTTAAGATATGCTTTTAAGAAAAAGACATTCTGAAGCATCTGCAATGTGTAAGGCATTGTTTTATATGCATCATCTAATTTAATTCTCACAAATCTATTATGTAGGCACTATTATTATCTCCCAGAGTCTTGGTGTGGCGCTGTAGGGTAAGCACTGGACTGCAAGGTCGATGATTCAAACTCACCAACCATTCCTTGGAAACCCTATACAAGGTCTTTATGAGTCAGAACTGACTCAACAGCACTTAACAACAGCAACAAAATTATTATCACCCACTACTCACTCATCTGTCAAGGAGCCCTGGTAGTGCAGTGGGTTACATGTGTGACTGCTAACTACAGTGTCAGCGGTTCTAATCTACCAGCCTCTCCTCCAGAGAAAGGTGAGGCGTTTTGCTCCTTTAAAGATTTACCACCTCAGAAACCCTATACAGGATCGCAATGAGTTGGAACTGACCCAACAGGCATACAACCAACACCACACATCTGTCAGTTTGCCATGCTGTGGTGGCTTATATGTTGCTGTGACGCTGAAAACTATGCCACTAACATTTCAGACACTAGCAGGGTCACCCCTGGTGGAAAGGTTTCAGCACAACTTCCAAACTAAGACAGACTAGGAAGAAGGACCAGGTGGCCTACTTTAAAAACATTGGCCAATAAACCTTTATAAATATTCATCTGATATAGATGTATGAAGATGAGTTCTTTCAGCTGGAAGGCATTGAAAACTCAGTGACTACCACATTGAGCAATAAAAATGGCAACAATTGTGAGGACGGCGCAGGACCAGGCAGTGTTTCGTTCTGTTGTGCACAGGGTCACTGAGAGTTAGAATTGGTTTGATGGCATCTAATGCGCCAGACTGCAAAGACATTTGAACAGCAAGGTCGATGGTTCAAGCTCACCAGCTGCTCCTCGAAAACCCTATACAGGGTCACTATGAGTTGGAACCGCCTCGACAGCACTTCACAACAACAACATTATACCAATTTTACAATGAGGAAATAGACCCAGAGAGTGACTTGCTCAAAGTCACATAGCTAGAAAGGGGTAGGGATGAGACTGGAATTCAATCGCTCTGAATTCCAGAACTCAAGTTCTAAATCCTCACTGCCATAGAATCAATTCTGACTCATAGTGACCCATAATGACCCTCCCTGTATGGGGTGTCCGTGACTGTAAATCTTTACTGGAGCAGAAAGCCTCCCCTATCTCTGGCAGAGTGGTTGATGGATTTGAACTGTGGTTAGCAGCCCAGTTGGTAACCCACTACACCACTCAGGTTCCTTGCTTATTCTTAAACCACCAAGGAGGATTTTTAAAATGGCCTCCATGGAACAGTCCCACTAGAAAGGACAAGCAGATCAGCCTGGAACATCTAGAGCAACAGAAGATATGTCTTCAAAGAAAGATCATCAGGAAAAACCCAAAACAAAAGTGGTAGTATGACTGGCTACTACAAGAATAAGCAAGTGGTTTGCCAGGAAGCCATCAAAGCAAGTGATCAAGTTCCTTCATGACACACCCCCTCTAAGACTGAAACTCAAAGGGAACACATGAGCAGGCATGCAAGCTTGCTCGTGACTACATTGGTCTACTGGTGAGTGGAAGAGGGGGAATGGTAGCATTGAAGAAATGGGCTGAGTTCAACCATGTTCCACAGACACCCATTGACCTGGAGATGAGAGAGAGAAGAGGAAGGGCTGGTTGGTTCAAAGTGTGGTGAGACCTGGGGATACCTGAGCCTGTGGACAAGGACATAGCCATAGAGGACTAATGCTGAGAGGGAAGCATCCAGCTGATACAAAGTAAGAGGAGTCGCACAAGAACACCAAAAGTTGCAGATAGTACCCATTTGACCTAGCCTCAATAACTTGATAATCAGAACTCGACTAGAGGAAGATATAAAAAAACTCCACAATTTTTGATAAAGGAAATGAGGGTAAATTGCTACAATTTGATGAACTTGACCTATACTCATGGAGGTAGTAACCCTAAATTCCATCTGAGAGGGAAGGAGAGTCTTTATATCAAGATTCAGTGCTATCCCCTCTGTACACAGGGTAGATAGGGACAGGCAACTTAGACATTGGTTACTAAAATGAGGGGGGTGATAAAGGCACAAAGTGACTGGCTTACAAGGTTTTAAGGGGGAGTTTAGTTTAATAGTGTGTGGGGGCAGAAAGTGTCCCCACTAAATAGTTTTCATCTTGTCTAGATGGGGATAAGATTCTTATGATTCAATAGTGAGTAATTGGTATCCTGACTAATTGCGACTGTCACAATTGGAAAGGTATAAGTTTTGTAACAAAAACAGGAGAGTATTTAATCTTATAGTCCAGAAACAAAGAAGCCTAGGACCATCAAGGGAGAAGAACACAAGCAGAATGTGAGACCTTATCCAGAGAAGCAGTGATACCAGAGAGGGAGACAGAGATGAGGACATGGGGAGAAAGAGCAGCCGAGGATCCTAGATTCAAGGGAAGAGAGGGACTAGGAGGCAGACTTGCAGAATGTGCCCTTTGGTGGTGTAAATTATTATATATACTTGAGTGTTTAAAAAAAAAAAAGCTAACGTGAAGAGCGAAGTACTATTAATTGATGGTACATGGAGGGGATTATAAGGTGTATGATTTGTTGAATGTAAAACTGATGATCTGCCCTGTAAACTTTCACTCAATCCACAATAAAAACCTAAAAAAAAAAAAAAGGCCTCCAGTTAGAAATTTGAGGTCACACCACCTTTAAATCTGCGTTTTACCAGAACATCCCAGATGATTCTGATCAAGAACTTGGTTTACCATACTTTGAGAAGCAGTTAAATTATGTTGACATCCCTATATGATAAAGGAGAAAACAGGTGCAGATTGTTAAATATGGCCCAAGATTAAGCCATTCAAACTAAGGTCTGTGTAATTATAATACAGGTCTATGATTATTCACTCATTTCCCAAGCACAATCAATATAGGAAACATGATTTCTAATAAATGAGTCATGCAGGTTTCACGGGCTCGTTATGTACTTTAGGTACATAAGGTTAATCAGCATACATCAGTACTGAAATTTGCATGGGTTTTGAACTTTTTCAATGATTGAAAGCTTCTTTTGAACTTACTTTCATCAATGAGATGAAGAATGAAAGTTAATGCTGATACTAGCAGTCAGCCAGATGGAAGTATATCATGCTCTGTGTCACCTCCATTCTACCCTTTGAAACTATAATTTAAGGCCAGCAAGTATGGTTTGCCTATGCTATACCCAGTTCCTAGTAGTGAGCCAATACCTTGGTGAACTTACATGGCTTCTTACTGAGATTGGGAGAACTTTTGTGTTTGTTATCTCTCTCACTTTCTCTTTTCCTCGTTTTTTGTTTGCAGCTCAGCGACATGTCCTTACATACATGGAGGATGCTGTGTGCCAGCTGCTCGAGAACAAGGAGGATATTAACCAATATGGCATTGCCAGGTTCTTCACTGAATAGTAAGTACGTGAATGTTCTGCCAGTAGGGAGATCCTAAATGAGGCACTTGGACACAGGCAGGATACATGAGAAATAGAGCAGGACAATGCTGATTATGTTGTGGCAGTGAATGCTTAGTTCTGGTAGGCTGGCTGAGAACTGCCCAAACATGTTGTGGAGTATGCCTCGGGTGTAGTTAGTTTTGTCCAGTGATAAGTTTCATGAATGATTATGTCTACAGAAATCAATATTATTTGCTCTATTAGATCTATTTCTTTAGGTTCTTCTTACAGTTTTCACCTTTGTCTTTTTTTCAGAATATTCAGTCTGCTTTCCTCTAGTTGGTGTTCCTTTTAGACTGGCTTTTTCATGGTTCACCTCTCTCATGGAAATATTTAGGCCGCTCTTCCTCTGCTATAAAGGTTGTCTCAATAACTTAATAATAATTTCAGAGGCAGAACATCTTTCATAGCGATTCCCTTTGAAGGCTTATGCGTCTTTGTAAAGTAGTTTTCTTTCTTTGTAAGAAAGTCAAAGTGATTACTACTTTATCATTTCTGGACGCCACATAACTAAGTTTAGACTGAATGAGATTATTACTGTAAAACACCTTGATCTTCATGAGGATGTGTTGAGGAAATACAAAGCATTATTGTTACCACCAGTATTCCATCACTCTCTAATCATTCCACCACTTGTCTGTCAGCTTGTCATACTGTGGTGGCTTGCATGTTGCTGTGAGGCTGGAAGCTATGCCACTGGTATTTTAAATACAAGCGGTGTCACCCATAGTAAATGGGCTTCAGTGGAGCTTCCCGACTAAAACAGACTATGAAGGAGAGGCGGACTACTTCTGAATGGTTGTTGTTGTTGTTAAGTGCCGTTGAGTCGGTTCCGATCCATAGTGACCCAGTACAGGGTTTCTGTGGCTGTAAATCTTTATGGGAGCAGAAAGCTTCATCTTTCTCCGACAGAGCAGCTGGTAGTTTCGAACTGCTGACCTTAAGGTTCACAGCCCAATTTGTAACCACTACGCTACCAGAGCTAGCCACTGACAACCTTCTGAAGAGCAGTGAAACATTGTCAGATATAGTGCCAGAAGATGAAAACATTTAAGAATAGCAGAAGAACATTGTCAGCTACAGTGCTGGAAAATTAGCCCATCAGATTGGAAGGCACTCAAAATACAACTGGGTAACAGCTGCCTCCTCAATGTTGAGTTGACCAGGAGGAGTAAAACTTTCAGGACCTTCCATTGCACATGGGACACAACTCAAAATGAAGAGAAACAGCTGTAACCACCGATTAATAATTAGAACATGGAATGTATGAAGTATGACTAGGAAAACTGGAAGTTGTCAAAAATGAAATGGAATCTATAAAGATCAATATCCTGGGCATTAGTGAACTGACATGGACTGGTATTGGCCATTTTGAATCTGAGAATCACATGGTTTACTATGCTAGGAATGTCAAATTGAAGAGGCATGCCATCAAATTAATCACCACAAAGAACATTTCAGAATCTGCCTTGAAGTATAATGCTGTGTGTGGTCGGATAATATCCATACGCCTACAAGGAAGACCAGTTAATACCACTTTTATTCAAATTAATGCACCAACCACTAAAGCCAGTAATGATGAAACTGAAGAATTCTACCAATTTCTTCAATCTGAAATTGATCAAACACGCAATTAAGATGCATTGATAATTACTGGTGATTGGAACAAGAAACTTGGTAACAAAGAAGAAGGATCAGTAGTAGGAAAATATGGCCTTCATGATAGAAATTATTCTGGAGATCATGTGAAAGAATTTTGTAAGACCAATTATACTTGTGGATCTCAACAGGTGGAATATACAGGAATCAAATAGAGTACATCTGTGGAAAAGCTCCATATCATCAGCCAAAACAAGGCCAGGGTCTGACTGTGTAACAGACCATCAGTTGCCAATGTGCAGGTTCAAACTGAATCTGAAGAAAAGTCCACAAGAACCAAAATATGACCTTGATTATATCCCACCTGAATGTGGAACAAATTTGATGATTTAGGCACTAGACCAAAGATCAGAATTGTGGAATGACAACAAGAGTATCAGATAAGAAGAAAGCAAAAGTCATTAAAAATTTAGGAAAGAAATAAAAGACCAGAATAGATGTCAGAAGAGACTTTGAAATTTACCCTTGAGTGTAGAGAAGCTAGAGCTACTGGAAGAAATAAGGAAGTAAAAGACCTGAAGAGAAAATTTCAAAAGGCAGTTTTTGAGAAGACAAAGTCATGTATTATAATGAAATGTGCAAAGACCTGGAGTTAGAAAACCAAAAGGAAGAATATGCTCAGCATTTCTCAAACTGAAAGAACTGAAGAAAATTCAAGCCTTGACTTGAAATATTGAAGGATTCTATGGACAAAATATTGAATGATGCAGAAAACATCAAAAGAAGGTGGAAGGAATATATCGAGTCACTATATCAAAAAGAAATGGTCAATGCTCAACCATTTCAAAAGGTAGAATTTGATCAAGAGCCAGTGGTACTGGAGGAAGAAGTCCAAGGTGCACTGAAGGTATTGGCAAAAAACAAGGGCAGCCTAGGCATTGGCAGAATACATATTTAAGACTTCCAACAAACTGATGAAGCACTGGAAACACTCATTTGTCTATGCCAAGAAATTTGGAAGACAGCCACCTGGCCACCTGACTGGAAGAGATCCATATTTGTGCGCATTCCAAAGAGAGATGACTTAACAGAAGGTGGAAATCATTGAACAACATCACTAATATGAACATGCAAGTGAAATTTTGCTAAAGGTAATTAAAAAACAGTTGCAAAAGCACATTGACAGGAAACTGCCAGAAATTCTAGCTGGATTCGGCAGAGGATGCGGAAGGAGGGATATCATTGTTGATGTCAGGTGGATTTTTGGCTGAAAGTAGAGAATACCAGAAAGCGGTTTACTTGCATTTTATTGACTTTGCAAGGGCATATTACTGTCGGAATCATAGTGAGCCAAAAACAATCTCGTGAAGAATGGGTATTCCAGAATACTTAACTGTTCTCATGCAGAACCTGTACATAAATCAAGAAGCAGTCATTTGAACAAACAAGGGGATACTTTGTTGTTTAAAATTAGGAAATGAGTGTGTCAGCATTGTATCCTTTCATCATACTAATTCAAGCATACATTGACAGAGAACTTTCAGAGGTTCAAGCCGGATTCAGAAGAGGCTGTGGAATGAGGGATATCATTGCTGATGTCCGATGGATCTTGGCTGAAAGCAGAGAATAGCAGAAAGATGTTTACCTATGCTTTATTGACTATGCAAAGACTTTCAGTTGTGTGGATCATGACAAGCTATGGACAACATTGCAAAGTATGAGTATTCCGGAACACTTAATTGTGCTCATAAGGAATCTGTACATGGACCAAGAGGCAGTTGTTAGAACAGAACATGGGAACACTGATTGGTTTCAAATTTAGAAAAGCGTGCAAGATGGTTGTATTCTTTCACCATACTTATTCAACCTGTATGCTGAGCAAATAATCTGAGAAGCTGGGTTATATGAAGAAAAATGTCACATCAGGATTGGGGAAAGGCTCATTAACAACTTGCAATATGCAGATAATACAACCTTGCTGGCTGAGAGTCAAGAGGACTTGAAGCATTTGCTGCTGATGATCAAAGACTGTAGCCTTCAGTGTGATTTACAACTCAACATAAAGAAACAAAAATCCTCACAGTTGGGCCAATAAACATCATGATAAGTGAAAAATATTGACGTTGTCAAGGATTTCATTTTATATGGATTCACAATTAATGATCATGGAAGCAGCAGTCAAGAAATCAAATGATGGAGCAAAGATGTCACTTAGAGGACTAAAGTGACCTGACCCAAGCCATGTGATTGTCAGTCACCTCATATGCATATGAAAGCTGGACAATGAATAAGGAAGACTGGAGAAGAAACAATGCCTTTGAGTTATGATATTAGAGAAGAATATTTAAAGTACCAGAGAATGGCAGAACAACAAAGAAATTTGTCTTGGAAGACATAGTTCCAGAATTCTCCGCAGAAGTGAGGATGGTGAGACCTCATCTCTTATTCTTTGGACATACTGTCAGGAAGGACCAATTCCTGGAGAAACACCATCCTTGGTTAAAGTAGGGGGTCAGTGAAAAAGAGGACGATGCCCAGTGAGATGGATTGACACAGTATGGTGGCTGCAACAGTGAGCTCAAACAGCACAATTGTGAGGATGGAGCAGTACTGGGCAGGGTTTCATTTAGTTGTGTTCTGAGGTGGAGTGCCTAACAACAACAACAATGAATGTTCTCTAATTGTTTTCTAATCAATAAGCACTCTCTCTTCAACCAGAGTATATCTCCCCACAAACAAGTGGCTGTGGTTTATATTCCTATTTATATTGGGCACATTTGAAACTCTATAACAATTTTTGATTTTGTAAATGGGTGAAGAATAAAGTCATGCAAGGAACTGAATGTTTTGGGGTGCTTTAGAGATGAGGCATACATGGCTTCAGATTCTGAACATGAAAATGATTTGACTCATATAAACACTACCTTTAAAAGGGCATTATTTTACATTAAGTTTTTGATGGTACTTCTTTTTGTTTGTGGCAAAATTAGTCTACGTTCGAGGCAATTTGGACATGGCAGTACAGTTCTCTTGGTTAAACTCCCTTGAGAGGGCTCACATACGGCCTAGAAGGTGAAGCATGGGAGTGTGCAAATGGCTAATTCTTCCCACATCTGTCAACTGCAACTTGTGTGGTGTAAATGTCTTCTCCTGCCTGGAACTGCCTGTGTAATGCTCTCTCTTTGGGCTCTGTGGTTTCTCAATACATTCCAACTATTCAGAGGCTGAAGTTTGGCTCAGCAAGCACAGATAAACAGCTTCCTGGAGCAGGCTGCCAGCATGAGGAGCAATGACCTCAGCAGGGAACGTCTGCTTTTCATTACCCTGAGCACATCACTGCACCGCTAGAACTAAGAGAA